CGATATTCATGGTATACTCGTGTAATGGCCGAGCGGAAAAATCCAAATTTCATCACGACCTCGGCGATGCTATGCTCCATCTCTTTTGCACCGGCAATAATACCACGTTCAAACCCACTTAAATTGTGATAACCTGACATTGTAGCAGTAGTAACCGATCTAACAACTGTTTCACACTCTTGTTGTTTTAAATAATCTTTGCTGACCAAAGTGATATTTCTTATCGATTCCAGAACTCTCTATTTCAATACGCACGAGTGTATAAGTTTTTGACTCTTCAATGTATTTCTTACTAACATGCTGCATAATTGAACTGCAACTCTGTTAATATTCTTAGTACGCAAAGAACTGGCGTACGGTTTATGTACTATAGTATGTATTTGCAATATCCAGGAAGACATTTGTTGTTAAAAAAATATTTTTTTGTAGTGTTATACAACTGTATTTTATTTTTTTATTCTTGAGCAATGTGATACTTTTTGTAAAAGCATTATGTGGCTTTCTTCAGCAGAATTATTGCAACTGCAGGCCAGTAGTGTTACACATAAAATGACAATATCTCAAGAGAACGCGCTAGTAAGAGAGAATACAATTCTGGACTTGTTGATATACTCGTAGCTCGTGGCCGGCCGTTCTTCCCGGGCCTTTTCCGAATCGCCCGACGTCGGCCTGAAAATCTCGGCGGGGCGCTTGGTCCGGCCTCGACGATGGCCGGGGACGTGGACGGCGCCGTCCACTTTGTTCTGAGCCTTCGCTCAGCCACCGTGACCTCCCGCCGCCCCCCGCCGCCCGCCGCCCGCCCGCCGCCGCCTCGCCCCACCCAGACTTGGGGAATGAATTGCGCCTTCGGGGCGGTCGGGTAAACTCGATTTTGATTAGCGCCCTTGCTTTTTCCCGGTGTCGGCGGCTAACGGGAGCGTTATGTTATCGGCTGATGCCGCCCACTCCCGCCCGGCCTCCTTCTCAGGTCCGGCCTGCGCTTCCCGCCCACGCTCGTTCGCACGCCGTCCCGCCTCACCGCCCTCTCTGCCCGCGTCCGCCTCCGCTTGCGTCCGCGACCGACCTTGCCTCTGCCACGCCCCCGAAAACTCCCCAAAGTACCTCCACCACCGCCTCCCTCTCACCCATGCGTTACCTCCGTTTCATTCCCCGCCTACGTCTCCGACCCCGCCAACGCCCTCCGCCTCCACCCGCCAATTCGCCTCCGCCAACACCTCCTCCAGCTCTGCTTCCGCTCCTACCTTCACCTTCACCCGCCAATTCCTCCAACTCTTCCTCACTCCTCGCCTGCGCAGTGCCCCGCCTCCACCTACGATTTCACCCCCGCCCTATCTTCGTCCCCGCCTCCGCCTCCGTCCTCTCCACGCCCGCCACTTCCGCGGCCTCCTCCAAACTCGCCCCTACCAGCGTCCCTGCATCCACCGTCACCATCTCCCGTCGACGCTCAGGACTCAAGAACTGAACTCGGTGCTCGAAAGGATGTGAAATATCGAAGGCCGAACCTTACGAAGGCCTACGTGACACGCAGAGCGCTCTCGTAGAGAAATTGGGAACGAGAATGACTTGTTAGACTGCAGTGTTCCTAGCGTGGAAAATGATAACTTTTATGTTTGGGAGTACAACACACTTCTTGGTTTCATAATTTTTCTAAAAATAATGGTTAATTTATTAAGGTCCATTTTCTGATGACATATCAACTACTAACTGATGTAATGTATTTAGTAACAATTTTACACGAATCCTCTCAATGACAATTGATTAAAAACAGATTTTATACATATTTTTTTACATTCATGTCCTCACTCGATATTACATATTAATTTGCAATTGAATATTCTTGTGCTCTTATTTCTTTTATGGTTGCTAATAATTACGTCTTAAAATATTTACTCTTTGATATTTTAAAGATGAATTTAAGAAAAAATGTTTTCGTAATTTTAACGAAGATAAATTTAGTAAATATACAACTTTAATACCTGCTGAATAATTGTGATATTTCCTGAAATATCAGAAAACGTATATCTAGACGTCTTCTGACAGTTTCCTTTGGGTAAAAATTGTGGCGTAATTCTACATTTCCCAGAGCATTATTTATTGTTTTAGCTTTATTTTATTAATATTATTATTATTGTTATTATTATTATTATCATTAACATCCCATGTGGGCAAGAGGCTCCTGCTGGGTAGGACAAACACTTCTCGAGCAACCACATCGATAGGGGAGTTTCTTAATTATTAACACTAGTGGCTTGATTATCGACACCAGTTCTTATTTAAAATTATCAGTACTTGGTTGAATATTTTCGCCAAACGTTCACTTAACACACTGGCTTTTTATTGGTTTATGAATTATTCGCACCAACCTTTCCATTCTCCCGGTCTTTGGTCGCTCTCTTCCATTGTATGTCTACTATCACTTCGAAGTCCTCTGGCCATCTTCTTCTCCGTCTTCCTACATTTCTGCTGTCTTCCAGTGGGTCCCACGGCATCCAACGAGTCCAACGTTCTTGTTGCGCATAATATGCCCTCCCCATTTCCATATCCCGGCGAGCGCCGGTGTGGGAGGGTGACACTCCCGCTCCCAATTTGCCGTCGCCTCTCGCCGAGCGCTTCCCAGCTCGCTGCGTGCGCAGGCCCCTCTACGACCCGCAGCTGGAACGGTTTGTGATTGTTTAAGGATACCGGACACGTCAACTACCAGGGTCATTAGTTCCGTAAGTGTAATTGCATGTTGTTGTTTTTAGGGGGGTGGCGATGATCTTTCCCCCGCTGGATAGCGAAATCTGGCGCCGACCTACCGTCGGCTAGCGGGATTTTCCGCAACCAGGTATCTCCCAACTTCAAGGCACCATCTCAGCCTTGACCAAGTCTATGCTCCCGACCGGTCTCCCGGCGTGTGTTGTAGTGAAGTGCATGTTAGTGTGTGTGTGTGTGTGTGTGTGTGTGTAAGGGATGAGGATAGAACCAGGAAGAGGAAGATGAGATCGCGCGCGGTCCGTTCCCCGTTTCTTAAAGTACCGCTCCGGCATTCGCCTGGTGTTATTAGGAGAAACCACGGAAAACTACCGAGCAGAGCATCCGGCCGCTAGAATTCTACTCCAGACAGCAGACAAAACTCGACCTCGCGGATAGGCTAGTGTCGAAAATCCTGGTCACCGGGTGCCCTGAGCCACCTCTCCGGTAGCTCGGACGGGCTCGCGTCACCTCTCACCGGGCGATTTCGCATGGCCTCTCGAAGGACTCGCTCCAGCAGGCCGTGTTCTCGGCGCTCACCAAGGCCTCATTCACAATGCACACTTAAACGTTACGTAATGACGTGAAATTAGCAGTAAAGTATGCACGTAAAAACACGCATTCAATACGAGGAACGTATCGGGAACGTAAGATTCGCCTCAGCCAATCAGATTTCAGGGTACTGAAGTTTGATCGATTGTCGATTCGTTTCTAGCACGGTAAAAAGATTTTTCCGCCTTGGTTTCTAGCTTTGTCTCTCATTTTCCTATCGATTTGTTTTTATATATAAATACGAGAAGCTGTTCTATTGGTGATAGCATTTTCTTTACTTTATAAATTCTTGTACCAAATTCGCAAGTGATTTGTCGGCCATTATTAATTTATTTGTCAAGTTAGTCACAAGATAAATGGCCCAAAATCTTACATTGAATTCACTACTCGCGTCAAAACTGTTCGCAAACTATAAAGCATTGAAGGTTTTCACGGCCGGAGTCAATATTATTCATTTCTTCCGGGCTGATGGTCCATGGTCTAATGGGTTTTAAATTGCCAAACGTTTCGCCCATGACTGGGGTGGGCATCCTCAGTGGCGAGGTCTCAGGCGAAGTGTCTTCGAACACTTCGCAAAAACTTCGCCCGAGACCTTGCCACTGAGGATGCCCACCCCAGTCATGGGCGAAACGTTTGGCAATTCAAAACCCATTGTACCACCGCCCATCAGTCCGGAAGACATGAATAATAGTTCGCAAACTTGTTCAGCACATAACAGTAATGAAATGGTATAACCACAAACTATCTGAATACTATTCTTGTTTGTTTCTTTCATGGTGGTCTGTGATTGTTTGTCAGTAGAATTCCGACCTAATCTTAAAGTAAAAGCTTAGTGTTTGTGAACTCTTTAAGTTTACGGCGTTACGCGTACGGTTACGTCAAGGCATCAAGGTCTCAATATATCATTTCTAGGTTTGCGGCTACGTTATGTTTACGTTTATTGCATTGTGAATGAAACCTAAGCGTCCGGAGCAGTAAGTCGAACGCCCTTGCACGTACTGTTGCTTGCAGACCCCTTGAGGCCTATTCACAATGCAATCATAGCATAAGCATGGCGTTAACACAAAAGTTAGAACTACGTCCATTAGCGGACTCATTCACAATGCGTTCGCATAAGCATAACACGTAAGACGTTAACGTAAAAGCTTGCAAGCTTCAAGCCACTGTACTTATGCTCAAGTAAGTCATAAGAAATAAACCAACGACAGTACGTTAACTCAAAGTTGAGAATCGAAAGTGGAGCGAAGTCGATAGACGAACTAACGCCATGTGGACCATGGACACAGTCGATACCTCAAAATCGATTCTCACATCCAACCAATAGTAAACTAGAATGTCTCACAGTCAATATAAACTTTTGTTTTGCTTATGTTTATTCTAGACATTGTGAATACTTCATTCTATCACTTATGTTAATGTTTCCGCCTATGCGTTAAGCTTATGTTTCCGTTTGCATTGTGAATGTGCCTTTATAGAGCAGGTAGTAGAGACTCGCGCCCCGCCAGGGGGCCGACGGCGCGTGACCCGGCAGCGCAGCTGCTGCAAGCGGCCCACACAGCGCGCGTTGCCAACGGCGAGGCCGATTTGGACGATGGCCGCACGGAGCCGAGGGCGTCTAGGCGGCGCCGGGCGAGGGCGAGGGCGAGCGGTAGGCGAGGGCGACAACGAGCCAGGAGGCGGCGGAGGCGAACAGCGCGCCCACCAGCGACCGGTCCATGGGCGCGAAGCCGCTCGCCGACGGCCGCACGGGCGCCGACAGCACCTGTAACCACGACAGCCCTCCGATCTTCGAGACCGTCACCTGGAAGGAGAGGGAGGTACTGTTTTCCAGCGGGAGCTTCAATACCTGTCGTATCGAAGCTCCCAATTGCAGGGCAGTGTGCCTCCCTCCTTATAGTTCGTGACCATAAAGAGACACCGCATTTAAATCGGAGTATTTGACAGGATTTGCAAACCGCGCTCGCTAGAGCTACTTGCTCTTTTGGGAAAGCTGGCGCTCCTGTGAGCACGGGCCACTTCCCCTAACTCTGCCCGCATTTCCCCTTTGAATCCAGAAACGGGTGTGCATGTTCAGGTGAAAGCGGTGCGAGACGGGAAATCGTGGCTTCATACAAAAATGTTCACCAGATTATTTCCATCAAAGAATAGAGATTTGTATTATGTTCATATTCTTTGCTACTTACTACTATTTCATGTTTATTTCTTTTTAAAATCTGCCATACATAAACAAATTTACCAAGTGGTAAGAATATGAACGACGAATTCTATTCTTCTATTCGTTTTGTATGATGTTTTATTAAAAACATTTGCCGCATAATGAATATTGCAAAACAAATTAATGAAGTTTCTACCAATTATCAGTTACGGGAAAACACCTCTTTTATCAGACAAGAATCTTTCTCTATTAAACCTTCTAAACCGAACATAGAAAGTTATTATTGTACTCTTAAGTAAACTGACAACGAAATCAAGATACTTTCAACTCAAAAACTTTAATTTTACTCCCAAATGGCAATTTGAAATCTGACGTATAACCGTTATTTACCTATATTGGATAATCTATCTCCTTAGTAGAGAAAATTGGTATTAATGTAAGTACATTTGGAAAAACAACTGTCAATTCATATTTTTAAAGACTGTCAAGGACGACGTATTTCTGTCATTCCGTAACTCGGAAGCAATTTGCACAACTCGTACTTTAAAATCTCGCGTTCTATATTACCCCAATAAGCTAGTTAAGATAACTTGTCCGCAAACTTAATATGCCTGCTCTAGAATCATGGATGGAGGAAGTATGTCTGCCCCTCGACAAAACACAAATTAAAAACTTCTTCTATATCTTATCCTTTTGATTTTTAAATTATTGCTATACATGAAGCAATTATAAGAAACGAAAGAATTGAAATCGCGCGCCGCAAAATACGGATTTTTCGACAGAAAAATTCTCAATGCCTGACTTATGCAATGAAAATGTGGATAAATATTTTTCCTACAAATAGTGTGATGTACCCAAATATATCTATTAATATTCCCGTGTTTTTCTCATCAATACATCACCAAAATAATTCCATTTACCAATTTTTAAAGTATGGATTTGTGCTTTAAAATGGTCCACACGGAAAATATTGGTCAAAATTGTGAAGAAAGGTACAAAATAAAAATTCTATACCCAAAAATAAATATCATGAGTTTCCGTGTTGGAGAAACAAAATTGTATTGTCTATAGTAATTTACATGAATAAGAAAAATTAAAGAAAAAAAAGGAACAAACTATATTATTATTTTTTAATAATTATTACTACACGTTCAGGGCCTTCTTTATTTTTGCTTGTACTAATAACACTTTTCTTCCTTTCTTTGCGATATTAATGCATACTGATTTATCTTGTATACTTCCCAGATGTTCTTGGTTCACATTTATTATGCAAGCATCCTCCACGCGAACTTCAGCGCTCAATTCAACTTACTGAAGTTCCCGGGTCACTTCTTGTTTCTAAAACCTTTTATTACACAACTTGTAATATTCATAAAACATTAGTTTCTTAGTTATTGACACACAGCAAAAAACGTCCCCTTTCAACCATTTTTTATCGACCTTTTCTTTTTTCAAATCCACCTGTCTCTTGATTTTGGTCGACCAATGTCCATTGTGTTTACACATACATTGTATATAATATGTTACAGTAGTACGAAAATTATATTTTCTAACAAGCTGTGTACACAGAATCCTCCACAATCTGTATTTTGTAATTCCTTGATATCGAAAAATAGATTGATGATAAAACATCATTCTGTCCGTCTGTTCGGCTGTGCACAACGGTAGCGCTTAAACCATTCAGACGATTTTCTCCAAAATTGATATTTCGCGGTTGATCTGAGCGAATTTGACGCCCTGCGAGATTAAAACAATATTTACATGAAGACGCAGCTGAAACCGATCGCGAGTAGCGATTAGATTGTCTTAGATTTATTACTAATTCAGTGAATAAGTTTGAGAACTTGTTGGCAGAATACACTAACTTAAAATTACAGAACTTAACAACTTCACAAAATTTACACACTTTACAAATTAACATGAACATTACACGGTGTAAACGTTCGTAGCCTGTGTAAACTTTCTAACTCACTTCACTACACTTCAATTCACAGCACCGCGGTTCATTGAGCTGTATTGTCTTTCTTACACAATCGATTCCCTCAACTTCATTCCCACAATCCATTGCCACAATCCATTACCACAGCACTGCACGCCAATGTACAAAATTAGTAATAATAAAAATTTAGATAATACAACTTACTTTACGTAGTAAACTAGTAATTTAAAATTATTCAACTTCTAAATACACAAATTAATTTCTAGGAAACTAATTTATTTTTAAATTTGCTCAGGTCTTGAGGAAAGGGATTAAAAATTGTCATAGTCGAACAGTTTCAGCCTCTAACAGTTCGATTCGGTAATGAATATTTCCTAACGTCTTTTCCTGCATTTTGTGCTTTTCATACAGCTTTTATTTTTATAATTTCCTTCTTTTTATTTCGCCAATTTCGTATTCACACTTTCGTATTCTCACAGTGTCCTACCGAGGAAATATTGGATTCATTTCGACGACATTGCACGAAAGAAAACGTTCAGCGCACGAGCGAAGGCCAAGGCGTGTCTGGTTTCTAGCTGGGGCTACGCAGACGGGACACCGGCCTCGCCCACAGAAGGCGACCGTGCCGCCACAGCGTTGCAGGTCGACCGCCGAGGGATGTTGCGTGAATCTTGATCTGTCAGCAATTACTTGTTTTCTGTTTTTCCTGCTAGTTAAATGTGTAGAATTGCTGAGAGTACTGAAACTCAAAGTCATAAGACTATTTCGTTGATTTTATAACACGCGCAGCTACGAAAATGCACTTCGGAAATGCCGAATTTTAGATCTTGATTATAGTTTTAAAATGTCTTCTAACTGTTTTATTCAGTGACATCAAGTGTGAACCTGGATGCTAATTGTCGAGTTTGATTCCTTTTTTTGTTGTTTTTATTCGCTTGTATGCTTTCTTGCCTTAGAGAACAAAACCAGGAACGAACTGGTAAATCGAGAACCAGTAGAAATGTTTTGATTAAACTTCGTCCTCGGGTAACGTAGAAAACGCTTGAAGCAATTGCCTGGGTCATTTTGTCATTGAAATCCATTTTTTCATGAACACCCATTTTTTCTCGCATTATTTATATTTTTTCATTTTTTGAAAATTCAGAAACAACGAACATTTTAAAGTGATCGATCGGCAATTACCTGTATTCTGTTTCTCCTGCTAGTTAAGTGTGTAGAATTTCTGGAAGTACTCAAACACAAGGTTATTAGACTATTTCGTTGGTTTTATAACAACCACAGCTACGCCAATCCACTTCGAAAAGACCAATTCTACATCCTAGTTAAAGTTCAAAAATCCCTTTAATGTTTTATTTAGTGACAGCAAGTGTGCCAAGCGGATGCCACGCTTCGACTTTGCCTTCTCTTTATTTGCTTGCTTGAGCCATCGGAATAAGAAACCTGCTAGTAAACCGAAAACAGTGCGTGTGTGTGTGTGTGCGTGTGTGTGTGTGTGCGTGTGTGTGTGTGCGCGTGTGTGTGCGCGCGTGTGTGTGTGCGTGTGTGTGTGCGTGTGTGCGTGCGTGTGTGCGTGCGTGTGTGCGCGCATGTGTGCGTGCGCGCGCGTGTGTGCGCGCGTGTGTGCGCGCGTGTGTGCGTGCGCGCGTGTGCGCGCGTGTGTGCGTGCGTGTGCGCGTGTGGGCGCGTGGGCGCGTGGGCGCGTGGGCGCGTGGGCGCGTGCGTGCGTGCGCGCGCGCGCGCGCGCGCGCGCGCGTGTGTGTGTGTGTGTGTGTGAGGTGGGGTGTAGAGGAGGAAACATTGGTGAGGAATGGGGAAGAATGTGCGCGGTTCGTTTCCCGTATGCTTGGGTACAGCTCCAGCATTCATTTGGTGTTGATCACATAACCATGGCATCCTACTCATTTGCACAGCCGGCCGAAATCTTTGTTTTTCTTATTGTTTATTCCTTAATTGTGAACTGTGATTTTTTTCCCTTTTCCGCTTCCTTGGCCTTCTGAGCTTCACCGGCTGAACTTAGCTCAGAGACAACATTGCCGCTGTCTATGCGCCGATTCTGAGCGGAAGGTCCTATTGTCCGTGCCCCGATGGTGGACGGATTTTTTACTCTAGCTAGATAGCTAGGTAGATTTCTGTGGTTTATCTGATCAATACCAGGTGAATGCCGGAGCAATGCCCTAACAAAAACTGCACACGGACCGCGCGCCCTCTTTGTTTCCATTTCGTCATATTCTCTTCTTTACTCACACGATTACGTTTAAATCCACTATACCACCACACATGTCGGGAGCTTAGAACGGGTCACGGCTGTGGATATTCCCTTTGGGAAGATACCTCGAGGGAGATATCCCTCGCAAGTCGACGTTCAGAGAGACGCCGGAATTCACAATCGAGCAGAAGAAGAACACCGCCCCCTTCCGTGAAGGATCATTCACTACACCAACGCAACGGGACTGATGATCTTAGCTGTTAAAGTGCTGGGAATTATCAATCAATTAATCAATCAAATAACCGGGACAATCAAATGACACTTTCAGGAAGTCCTAGCTCATTCCTCGCAGTGTACCTGTGCGCGCAGCAGGCGCAGTTCCCTGGCGACGGGACCGCGCGGCGCTGGCGCGCGCAGAAGCAGCGCAGACGCCACTCGCGCGGTTCGGTCTGCGGCTGCGCGCACGCTCTCGCCCACCGACGCCAGCAGCACCACCTCCACCGCCAGCACCAGCGCC